AAGCTTTCACTATTGCAACTCAAGGCTTAAATTTTTTCCTCAGTTCTTTCAGCTTGAGAAATGCCAAGCGTGTTCTTCCCTTTTGGTTTTCTAACTCCAAGTCTTTGAACATTTTATTACCTATAAGAGAACAGAGGTCCTTTTTTATGTAGGGACTTCTTAAAAGCAATTTTTATGAAAAAAAAAAAAAAACACATATAACAAAACAATTGCCAGTTTAGTATTTTTTACATGTACAATTCAGTGACACTGGTTTCATTCATCATATTATACAACTGACACCACTGTCAGTTTCCAGATTATTCCACCACCATTAGTATAAAGCAGCCCCCTAAGCAACGGCTCCCTTTTTCCCCTCCATCCACCCCTGAGAACCACAGATGAACTTTGAGGGCTTTTTTTTTTTTAAGGTAACCACAGTACCATTCTCATACTTAACAAAATTAGTCCTAATCGTTTAATATCATGTGATACCCAATCTGTGTTGAACTTTTCCTGGTTATCTCAAATATTTCTTTTTGTAGTTGGTTTATTCTTTTTTTAAATTTTTTTTATTGTGATTTGGATGAAAGTTTACAGAGCAAATTCATTTTCCATATAGCAATTTATACACATTTTGTCTCATGACATTGACTGCAATTCCCCGCAATGTAACAGTTCTCTTTCCACTTCCTCCCTAGTTGGTTTATTCTTATTAAGTCTCCTACAGAGGCCTACATGTTACATTTAGTTGATATGACCCTTATGTCTCTTAACTGTACCAGTTGGTTTCTTTGTTTAAATTTGTGCCAAACATGTTGCACAACTGGTTATTTGTTTTGAAGGAATTCTTTTTGGTTTCAGCATATTGCATCCTTGTGGTAGCATTTACCATGTTCTGCTACCCTCAGTATTTCCTATAGTGTGGCAGTTAGATCTAGAGACTTCTTAATAAGATTCAAGTTTAGTTTTTTGCCAAGAATGTTCATAGGTGGTACTGTGTACTTTCTGTTATATTACAATGACAACTTGATGTCTTCTTTTCTTTCCTTTTGTGATATTAACAATGATCAGTGGCATCACTCTGATCAGCTCATTATGAAGTTCCCTATCAGTCCTTCACTTACTGATTTTTGCAGTCATTGATAAAGTTTCCCTGCAAAACAGTGATCTGCTCATTCAGCATTCCTTCTGCGTTTCTTAGCTAGAGTTCTTCCAAAAAGATCTTTTTCTCATCAACTGTTTGGTAATCCTGAAATCAGATTTGAACCAGAAAGATGGATAGATGCTTGATCATTTCCTTTTGTTTCTCAATTTTCAGAATGAATTAATGCTCTAGCAACCTCCACATATGACCAATGAGTGTGAGTTTGTTTTGAGTATTATTGTATACTCCTATGGGTTTTATTATATACTCATGGGTTTTTATGTGTTTGATGTGTTTCAGTGTATTGCAGTGATCTTTCTGTTTTATACATAAGTTTTCTTTGGCCAGTGGGCACTCCTTCAGGATAGTTCCTGTGGTATCTTGTTTTTAAATGAATTTGAGTAGGTCTCTCCCCCCCACCAAGTAAACTCTTATATTCCATTAACAAATTAGGGAAAAAGAGTTTCCACACTTTGTCATACTTTGATCAAGTCATCATAGTTTGAAATCAAGTGCTTGTGGCTGAGAGGAGCACTCATCTCAAAGAGTTCCACAAGAGTTTGAAATGTATGTTTATGGATTCCAGTTACTCAGTTTAGACATCTTGAAAGTAATGGATCGCAATGAAGCCAGTCAGTAAAGGTAATAAAAAGCCAAAAACCAAACCTGTTGCCATTGAGTCAATTCCAACTCATAGCGATCCCAGTTGGGTTTCCAAGGCTGTAAACCTTTACAGAAGTAGATTGCCTCATCTTCCTCCCATGGAGCAGCTGGTGGGTTTGAATCGCCAGCTTTCTGGTTAGCAACCTTACCCACTATGCCACCAGAGCTTCATAGTAAGAGTGATAGAGCATCCAGAAATTTAAAACAAAACAAACAAACAAACAAAAACTCATTGCCATGGAGTTGATTCTGACTCATAGTGACCCCCTTTGGGTTTCCAAGGCAGTAAATCTTTATGGAAATAGATTGCCTAGTCTTCTTTCCGTGGAGTGGCTGGTGGGTTTGAACTGCCAACCTTCTAGTTAGTAGTCAAATGCCTTAGGCACTAACACCAGAACGCCTTGTCCAAAAATACACAGAGTGTTTATTGATAGAAATATGAGTAGATTTTGAGAATATTGGCAACAAGAAGTTGACCAACCTTTTAAAAGAGAAAACTGTGTAAATTTGTCATGTAAACCAGAATTAGGAAAAAAAAATTTTTTTTTTAATCAGGCACAGGCGATTATATAGTGAAAGTCTTCCTCCTCCTTCCTTATCCCTAATGATTCTAGCCACCTGGTTCCCCTTTTCAGAGGTAACAAGTGTTACCAGTTCCTCGAGATTTCACCCCTGAGGTATCTGTGTACATATAAGATTTACCTAAATGGTATGGTGATCTATATACATTCCTATTGCATATATGATGCTGCACTGAACAACTTTGAACATGTGTCAGTTTCTACATTGTGTCACTATATCTGTAAGATAAATTACTATATATAAAACTTTTGAGCTAAAATATCTGAATGGTTTTGCCATATTGCCCTTGTTGTTGTTGTTATGTGCCATCAATTGCCCTTAGTAAAGGTTATACCAGTTTATTTTTACTAGCCATTCATATAAGCACCATATTTTTACTCTTCTGACTTTTACATGGACTTTATTCAGTTGGTCTACCCCTTAAAGCTGTTTGTATGCTGCATTTTTTTTAGAAAAGGGGCTACAATAGTTATCAAATAAAATTAAGGACCCTTGACCTACACACAAAGCACTGAGAGATACCCTGACTTCACGAGCATCTAGAGACTGACTGGGGGCCTCGCTGACCGTGGTTTGCTGGTGAAGCATTTCAGAAGGATCTCTTGTACAATGAGTTCCCTTATTGCACATGCCATGTTTCCTGTGTGTTAAAACTTGGTTAACATACCAGGTTGTAACCTTTTGTGGAAAGAGGAGCAGAAAGATGATAAGAAAAAAGCAGAACATCTTAGGGGAGGAAAATGTGGAAATGAAGCAATTTAGTAAAATTACAGAGTGTAGTTTATTTCAGAAATGTCTTGATCCCACAAGTGGTAACTTATGTGCTGTTGCATTACTGGCTAAAAGGTGGTCCCACTCCTCAGATCTTGTGCAAGTTTGTCCCAGTAAGTTATGAGACACCATTCCGCCAAGACTTTGTGCTCTGGAGTTTTTGTGCATCGGCATTACTTACATTGTGATGGAAATGAGTCCTTGTGGTGTATGGGAAAGTTGGATGCAATGGCAACTCTTAGTGAGGGATGAGACTCTTCACTTTCCTTCACCAAAAGGCTGTGTGAGAGCCAGGCAGCACTGAACTACCTTTGATGTGCCCATAAATTCCTTACATTAAGTTACTTCCAGGCATAGTAATAATAAGCCTTAGTATGTTATTCTTGTTGTTATGTGCTGTTGAGTCAGACCCGACTCATAGTGACCCCTCCTTGGATTTCCAAGGCAGTATCACTATGGAAGTAGATTGCCTCATCTTCCTTCAGAGGAGTGGCTGCCATTTTCTTGAAAGAGAAAAAACTTTTTCTCTAAGAATTTTGAAGAGCCTCATGAGAGATGGAAGAGTAAGAACTGGGAGAAAGATTTAAGGTGCTTCAGACTTTTCTTGTTGCCTTAGCAGAAGCCCATGTGTCCATGTACAGTAAACGTTGTTAATGCATCTCTGGATGGCACAGAGTAAAGTGCTAGACTATCAGTTGAAAGGTTGGTGGTTCAAACCCACCCAGAGGTGCCTGGGAAGACAGGCCTGTCAATCTGCTCTTGAAAGGTCACAGCCTTGAAAATCGAATGCAGCCATTCTCCTCTGCACACATGAGGTCACCATGAGGCGGAGCTGACTTGATGACAACTAACAACGGCAACAACAGCAAAGCTTGTGAAGAAATTTAAGGGTAATACACAGACTTACACCATAAGTAGAGTCATCTCTGGACATTACAAAAGGTTGGGAGTGAGAGGAAGAACGTACCATTCGCACAAGCATTACTCTCTCTCCCCCATCCCCTGGAAGCCTTTTTCCCACATATAAAGCCATCCATCCTACCAAAATTCATGTGGAACTCCTGAAATCAAACAAACCCAGACCCTTATAAAAACAAATCTGATATATCAGATTTTAGATACAAGTAAGAATCACTCCTTGGAAGGAAGATGGGGCAATCTACTTCCGTAGTGATACTGCCTTGGAAACCCAAGGAGAGGTCGCTATGAGTCGGTCCCACTCGGCACATAACAACAACAAGAAGAATCTGTTACTTTGTATCTGAATATTTGCATCATTCACAGGACTGAGGAAATGAAAATAAAAGGCATGTACCAAAAAAAACCCAAAAAACTAAAAACTCACTGCCATCGAGTTGATTCCAACTCATAGAGACCCCCATTGGGTTTCCAAGGCTGTCAATCTTTACAAAAGTAGATTGCCTCATCTTCCTCCTCATGGGTTTGAACCCCTGACTTCCTGGTTAACAGTCTCATGTACTACCACCACCACCACCCCCCCTTTTTTCCTTCTTAAAATTGATGATTTTACTGTTGTGCAAGACTTCCTTAATAGGATATAATTATTGGCAATTTTAGCATTTTGTAGGAGTCTGGTGGTTAAAGCACTCAACTGCTAACCAGAAGGTCAGCAGTTTGAACTCACCAGCCACTCCATGGGAGAAAGGTGATACATTCTGCTTCTGTAAAGATCTTGGAAACCCTAGGAGACAGTTCTACTCGCCCTATAGGCTTGTTGTGAGTCAGAATCAACTCAACGGCAGTGAGTTTGGGGTCTTTTGGTTTAGCATTTTGTAATTTGTGTAACTAAACCATTATCTTCCAGCTTCTTACTTTACTTTATCTGTGGTTTTGCCAGGGCTGCCTGATTCTGAGTGATGAACTGAACCATGCATCACTCGTTCTAGGAGCAAGACTGTCAGGAGCAACCATTCGAATCTTCAAACATAACAGTGAGTTTGTTGTGAAGTTCACTTTCAGCCATAGCACTAACATTCTTTGGTCAATGGTCTCAGTGGTTGTTGTGTTGTTGTTATGTGCCGTCAAGTCGACCCCGACTCATAGCGACCCCTCCTTGGGTTTCTGAGGCGGTATCACTACAGAAGTAGGATTGCCCAGCCTTCCTTCCGAGGAGTGGCTGGTGGGTGGAGGTGGTAATATTACAATAGAAAATACAAAGCTAAAGTAGTGATAGTTAAAATGTCCTTCTGGTCCAGATTTTTAAGAGTGATTCTCTTCTTCCTTGGAACAAAAGTAGAAACTGAAGGAAGCCTTTTGATATAAAATATAATGTATTCCTTTTATTTGATAGTTCAATTTTTTCATCCCTCTTCCTTGTTTAGAAGTACTCGTTCAATATACATTTACTAGAAAACTTAGTGTGTCTTGCCATAACACTGGGAGTATGGAGATGAATAAAGCAAAATCTCTGATTACAAAGGTTTTTGACTCCTGAAGAGACTTATAGGTAGATAACCCACTAGTTCCAGTACAACGGATAGACACTGGAATGTAAATGTGAACCGATTCCACAAAGCACAGGGACAGGTGGCACTGAGCCAAATCTTTTTCTTCCTAAATGGAAATATCTTTGTGCATTATTAAAGTAACCATTTATAACAAAAATCCATAACAGTTAAAGCACTCACATGTCAGGAGAGAGGATTACCAAACAATAGGATTAATAGCATCTTTTTGCCAAAATGTGCCTATGTATAGACAGAAGTATAGAAAAGTACACACCATAATATTAGGTCTGTACCTCTGGATGGAAGCATTATGGATGGTAATTACTTTCTTTAGCTTGTCTAAAGTGTTTTATGATGAGAATGGTGTATATAGTATTTTAAGTCAACATTGTTGTATAACCTGCTATTTTCTTTTTACAGTGTGAACAGCATTTGTCAGAGCTGGTAGCTCTTCCTCATCATTTATGCCCATGTTTGCTTTTTGGGAAGGAGATGTATTTGCATTGGTTTATTCACACTGTTGCTCAGTCTTCTTTATGAATTTATTTCTGAGTGACTCACCAGGATTAGAGATACAGCTTGATTGTATAGACACAGAAAAGCTACCTGACTGGCAGGGCTATTAGCATGAAACATTGGTTATTTTCATAGCTTGCTAACGAACTGCCTCTACATCGGTGCAGTTTCTATGGTTTTGTGCATTTGTTGTATTTGAGATGAGATTTCAGTTCAAGCTGGCAGCAACTTACTCTTTTTACCCTCTTTTCTGCCCAAGTCAAAGTATGTTAATGTCTTTTGTTGTCAGAGATGCATTTCCTGATTAAGAACTATATACCTGCATTTCTGGAATGAGTTTAGGAAAGAAGATAGTTTGTGCTGAAATTCATTTTTGTGTGCTGCAGATATGCAGAGCCTAGAGAAGCTACTGAAAGACGCCATTGTTTATGGGCAGCCCCGGACGCGAAGGCCCTGGAAGAAAATTCTAATCCTTGTAGAAGGAATATATAGGTAATCCTGCTTTATTTTCTTTATCTTTGGGACTTAACCCCATGAAGTCGTAGATTTTTAAGCTGAAGGAAACTCTACTCTAGACTCCTATTGAAACTAAGGAGAGAGTATGTTTTGGTTACCTAATGCCGCTCTGACTAATGGGATGGCTTGAACAAACAGGAATTTATTTTCTTATAGTTTGGAGCCTTTAAGTCTGAGTTCAAAGTGCCAGGCACTAGGGGCTGGGTAAAAGCCCCTTAACCTGTGGCTTCAGCTCTGCCTCCAGCTCCTGGCCCACTGAACTAGAGGCTTTTCTTCACTCAGCTGCTGGCTGCTGAGGCTGACAAGCCCAAGGTTGACAAGTAAAAAGGCACAGTCCTGATGTTACCAAACCACCTGGCAGGCCATTAATTCAAGTCCATTGAAAGTCCTAAGTTCGGCAGAGCATGACAGGCTGCTGCTGAAAAACGACACAGCCACACGCAGGGTTCAAGGTGCCATAAGCTAGAGACCATTTCCCAAGGCTTCTCTTTATATTTAGGAAGCAGACCACACCCCTAAGGCTACTCAGCTGCTCACAGTAGATTCCACCATGGAGTTGATTACCAGTCTCATCATGGGGAATATTACATTCAGCTGCCCAGCCACTCAACAAGGCCCTGCCAAGTTGACAGACAAACTTAACTACCACACAGTGTTTGTGATTCATTAAAAATAACCAGCTCTAGAACAGAGGTCTTTTTATCTGGCTCTTTATTCTTTATCTTATAAACTACACTGTCTCCAAACCATCACCATGACCACCCCTTCTATTTGGATCCTGTATTTCTCTGCTGTTTACAGGGGAAATTTTTAGAGAGAGAGGGAAGAATAAGAATATGTTTACTAATATATCAAAATAAATCCCACAACATTTAATTATGAGGGAGGTTTTGTTTTGGATAACTCTTTACTGTCTTACCTCCTAATGGTGTTTCTTCTCTTGTGTAATTTTAATGTGATACAGAGTCTAATGTTGTCCATTATTATAATCTTAGAAGAATCTGCTATAAACTTTCTCCTTCTGTGGTGAATTAAGATGAGCTGTGTTCCGGTGCTTGTTTTAAAAAGATCCAGTGTCTGTCCCCCTAGACATCTGACTAGCCATGGCATCATCTAACATGCCACAGATAAGAGTAGTTGGACCATTTTAAAGGCAATAAACTTGAAAAATAATGATTTTGAGAGTTAAAAAATTTCCATCTATTTTTATTTATCTTGCTTTCCAGTATGGAGGGATCCATTGTTCGCCTTCCTGAAGTGATTGCCCTTAAGAAGAAATACAAAGCATACTTGTATCTAGATGAAGCTCACAGCATTGGGGCCCTGGGCCCTACAGGTCGAGGTGTGGTAGATTACTTTGGCCTGGATCCTGAAGACGTGGACGTCATGATGGGAACATTCACAAAGAGCTTTGGTGCTTCTGGAGGATACATTGGGGGCAAGAAGGTAAATGGGCCATGAGCCTCCAGGAAGTAAAGATAAAGATACTGCCGACTGTCTAGCCTAGTAAGTCATGTTCAGGCGATAGGATCCTGAACTAGGATGCTGACATCCTGAGTTAGTTTGTGGTTTAATAAGCTTGTAATGCCAGCAGGTGTCACACTTCAACTGCCTGGTGAGTGACTGATGTCTCCTCACTGAACTAAAGGCTGATTCTGTTCATTGTTTCTTGTTTTCTTATTTTAGCTTCTTTCTGAACTACATGCTGTCTGAGATACAGAATACCCTGTTGTATGAGAGAACACACAGTGGTACTTCCTGTTTGCCATAGTCTTCTGTTGGGTTTGAGTTGTGCTCACAGTCTCAAAAGTAGCAAGGAAATGGCAATACAGGACCAGTTTCCTTGCCCTTGGATGCAAATGCATCTTGTGTGAACACAGAAAAAGAAGAAAGATTATTTTGCCAGCTCTTATGTACTATATGGCATTACATTATTCAATTTTAAAATTTTAAAAGTCAACTCTGAGGTGTTTGGCAGTCAGTGTGTAACATGGTGGAAATAGTTGAACCACACAGATGGAGGCCAAAGTTTGAGTATGTCTCTGATTACTTTGTGAGACCTTGGCTAAGCCTTTTAACCTTTCAATTTCCTTATCAGTAAAATGGAAATAAATATGTAGTAACAATATTCACATGGGAGCTCTGGTAGCATAGTGGCTAAGACACTTGCCTGCTAACCAGACGGCTGGCGGTTCAAACCCACCCGCCACTCCTCGGAAGGAAGGTTGGGCAATCCTACTTCCATAGTGATACTGCCTCGGAAACCCAAGGAGGGGTCGCTATGAGTCGGGTTTGACTCGATGCCACATAACAACAACAACAATATTCATATAAAAATACAGTCTGTATGCCTAGGCTACTACATGGATGGCCGTGAAAACATTATGCTAAGTGAAAGAAGACAGTCACAAAGTGCACATACTGTGTGATCTCATCTACATGAAATGTCCAGAATAGGCAAATCCAAAGACAGGAAGTAAGTTACTGATAGTCAGGGACTGAGAAAACCAGAAAAGCAAACCTACTGCCATTCAGTGGATTCTGACTCATAGCAATCCTGTAGGACAGAGTAGAGCTGCCCTATAGGGTTTCCAAGGCTATAAATCTTTACGAAAGCAGACTGCCCCATGTTTCTTCTGCAGAATGGTTGGTGGGTTCAAACCTCTGACCTTTTCATTAGCAGCCAAGTGCTTTAATCATAGCGCCACCACAGCTCCTCAGAGAATGACTGCTACTGGGTACAGGGTTTCTTTTTGGGGATCATGAAAATGTTCTAAAATTAGTTGATGAAAGTTGCACAACTCTGAATCTATGAAAAATCACTGAATTATATGCTTTAAAAAGGTGAATCTGTGGTATGTAAATTATTTCTTAAAGCTATTGTTAAAAGAAAAACTGCAAGATTAGAAAAAACGGTATGTCAAATATTTATACATGGTTTAAATATTTATATATAGTAGGTGCTCATAAATGTTGTTGATTCCTCTTTAAACCTTTCTGTTGGGTGTGTTAAAGAATGGTCCTTCTCTTGTTGATCAGTTGCCTTTTAGAGAAGACCCATTATTAGCAAGTCTTTATGAAGTTTAATAGATTTCTAGCTCAGATTTTACCATTCTGTTTGTGGAAGCAGGCTCATTTTGGAGAATTGATTGCAGTTTGGTAAGATTTGAACCAAAAGATAGAAAAACATTAAATACTATGGTGGATTGTTTAAGTACAATCTATCTGTGCTTTGTGTTGTTTCTACAGTGTTTTGTATTTTTGAGGTGATAGACTGTTTTATAGTCACATTTTAGTCTATGACCTAAAGATCACTTTTTATTTACTTCTGGTACATCAGCTTGATTGTTTTGAAATCCTTATAACTGACAGGCAAGGTTTTTCTTAACAGTGTTCTGATGAAAGACCTAGTAAATTTCTGTTTAATTCCTGCCACATTAATGCCATTTTGTAAATCTCTGTATATATGGAGAATATTTAATGGCTGTAAATCTGATGTTATAGAGAGCCATCTATTATTTAAGGGTATAAGGATGGGCCACATAGGATGAGATGCAGATGACATTTTATGTAACACACCTGATCCTCACTCACTGGAACAGTAACACACTCACTTCCTCACTTGGTTATCTAACATTATGCATTTACGACAATAGTAGAAAAATCTACTGTCTGACTATTTTGCATATTAACAACATGTGTTTGCCAGTAACAGACACCAAGGAACAAAGCGAAAGCAACGCTAGCAGTGATGGTTAAGGGTTTATGTCACCTTGGCTGGGCCATGAATCTCAATGATATATAGAGGGTTTCTTGAAAACTAATTTTTCTTTCCATGTTGTGACTTGTTTATAAAACAAAACAAAGCCTAAGAATTGTGCTGTTTCTGGCCCAGTTGCATACAGCATGCTCTGAGCACCTTGGCTGACCTTGCGATTCAAGTAAGTGCCCCTGTTCCAGCACAGTAGAAGGAAGGAATTGGCTCGCACCTACAGGGGCAGCACTGGCATTGCCAGGGACTTCATGAATTGCTTCTCCTTGTCTTCTAGGAGCTGATCGACTATCTGCGAACACATTCTCACAGTGCAGTGTATGCCACGTCACTGTCGCCACCTGTGGTGGAGCAGATCATCACCTCTATGAAGTGCATCATGGGGCTGGATGGCACCAGCCTTGGTAAGTCTTTCTTGGAAAATTTCCTAGGCTCAGTAAGTAACACCCAGACGTGCTCTTTTTCTTGAGCCGGTTCTTCCACAATTTTCTTAACATAAGGAGTCAGGTATGCTACAGGGCGGAGCTGGTAGGTATGTGAGGCATCATTTCTGTGGACCCTTTTCAGTGTGTTAGACACACGTGCTATGAGACGTAGACTTGCTTCTGTTACAGTTTCTTGTTTATTGATGGTGAGACTTTAATCTTTCCTTCCTACAAACCCTCATAACTCAGGTAATAAGCCTTCAGGGTCTTTTTTTGAATTGCACAATTTTATGTGAAGATGTAATTCACTGGGTAAAACCCAAAACCCATTGCCAAAGAGTTGATTCCAACGCATAGAGACTTTCTAGGACAAGGTAGAACTGCCCCATAGGGTTTCCAAGGCTGTGAATCTTTATGGAAGCAGACTGCCAGATCTTTCTCCTGAACAGGGATAGGTGAGTTTGAACTGCTGATGTTTTGGTTAGTAGCCGAGCACTTAACCACTGTGCCACTGGGGCTCCTTCACTATGCACGATGTTTTATTAACGTAATATTTAAGAGCTGCTATTTCCATGAATTAGAGTCTTTGATTTAATGCATTTTTAACAAGTTTCTAATTTAACATAGTAGGTAATAAAGGTTAAGGATGACTCATAACTGGGCGTGCACAGGGTCACTGTGATTTGGGGCTGACTCAGCAGCACGTAACAAGAAAGGTGACAAAGGTAGTCCCAAATCCATTTATTTGCCTTTGATGGGATAGGTAGTCCAAAGTAATTATTTTGACTTAGGCAATGAACAATAAAGTGTGATGTTTGCTTTCTGGCATTTGACATTTATTCTAGATCACCAGAGGGCAGTGTTGACTATAGAACAGTTATAATGAAGAGGCACAATTAGGCTTTTTTACTTTAGAAAGTATTTCCATTGTGACTGTGGGACATACCTTAATTTTACTTTTTGCTTTCTTAATGTTTCTAAATCCAATTTGACTCTTAGGATTTCACATTATGCACCTTGGAGCCCTCCATGACACTTTGTTGTGAGATTCATTTGGCTTTTACTGAAAAGGATGAGTGAAGTGGTACTTGTGATTTTGATTGAATTTAAATCTGTTTTCTTAAATCAGAAATTTGCCTTAATATTTTTCCTGATCTGTGATAGATCTTTGTTATCTCTAGTGAGAGTTCTTTCAAAATAGTGACGTGATCATTTTCAGTTTCATAAATTGATTCCTCAGGGAAAAAAATACTAATATTGTGAACAGGAACATGGAGCCTTGTGAGTAACTCTTGTTAAACAGTTGCTACAACTTTATGTCCTCCTTCCAGTATGGTGTTATTGGAAATAGTGTGCTTTGAGCTGATGTGTGTGCGTGTTTTGAACTGGCTTTTATCTAGTTATTTCACACAGGTACTTTAACCATATCAATTCACAGATTTAGGTGACTAAAAATTGGCTAACAGCTATCAGAGTTAACTGGATAATTTCCTTGCCTGCCTAGAGGATGGATCTTTGCAGTGTATTACCTCTGAGTAAATGATATTTCTGTAATAAATAATGAAATCAGGGCTCTGCCAGTGGTGAGAAAAAGAAATTTGGTAACTAGATACAGGCTTTGAGTTAGCACTAGTTTTCCAGTTATCTATTGCCTCTGTAACCACTCTAAAGCTTACATCCAAACAACCGTCTTATTATGCTCACAGAGTCTGTGGGTCAGGAATTCGGTCAGGGCACAGCAGGCATGGCTTGTCTCTGCTCCACAGTGTCTGGGCCTTCAGCTTGGAACACTCAAGCAGCTGGGGAAGACGCAGATGGTTGGGGGCTGGGATCATCTGGAAGCTTCTAGCTTCCTTACTCTAATGTCATCTGGGCTGGAGGGACTTGGAGGCTGGGCTCAGCTAGCACTGTTGATCAGAGCACCTTCATGTGTCTTCTCTATGGTTAGGGTCCTCACATCATGGTAACTGGGTATTCAGAGGTACTTTGCAGAGAGTAAGCATCCTAAGAGAATCAGGCAGAAACCATCTGGCCTTTACTGATCTAACTAGAATTGTTGATTAGAGAAAGTCACTAAGGCTAGCTCAGATTGAAGTGGATAGGGAATTAGACTCCACTTTTCAAAGGGAGGCATTTTTACAGCCATTTTTAAAAAACTCCCACTACTAGCTTTTAAATAATAATTATATTTTAAAACTTACTTCTTAAAACTTTTAATTAGTATGAGAAACTTCTGTTGGCCTATATTGTTCTTCTACCAAAACAGAGATTTAAAAATATCAAGGCAAAATGTAGAGATAAATACTGTTGCTGATGAAGTCTGCTTCCTAATCTTAATTAAATCTGGCATGGTTTCAACAGTGTAAGATAATGTTATTTTTATGGCATCTTTTTTTTTTTTTTTTTTTTTTTTTTGGGTGAAGATTTACAGAGTAAATTCACTTTTCATACAGCAGTTCACATATACTTTGTCTCATGTCATTGACCAAAATTTACAATGCAACAGTTCCCCCCCCACTTCCTCCCCATGGTTACCTCTTCCCAGTGTCCATCCCTCCATACTCTTCTGCGCCCTGAGCTGTCTCCCTGTGCATAAGCAGCCCTTCCTTCTCCCATGATTGTTCTCTCTAGGGCGTGTGTCTACTTGAGGTAAATGTTTAACTCACATGTTTTATGGCATCTTTGAATGCCTCTTTTCACTGTCATTGTAGGAAAAAAGTTATGAACCAAGGCAATGGCCTTTTGACTTTGCCTTAGTGTGATCTTAAAAGAGAAGTATCTACTATTATTTCCTCAGGGTGTTATGGTAGAAATGGCCTAACTTGAGGGAAACTTCATGTCTTATATCCAAGACACTGAATTTCATTAATTCCACCAACACTGAGTATCTCACTCTGTATGAATCAGAACCCACAGACCATTTGAATAGAGAATATACTTGAAGAGTATTGGGGATGCAGAGAAAAGTTGGTTGTGGTAATAGCCCAGTGAGGACTGTAGCATAGGAACATGGATGCTTTCTTTATCATTCCCCAAATATTTCAGTGCCTGCTGTGTGTTAGGTGCTGCTCTAGTTACTTGTGATTCATCAAAGAACAAAATACCCCCAAATCTCTGCTTTATGGAGTTCTAGTGTGCTAGAAAGTAAGTACTTCAGGGAAAAGATAAAACAAGGAAGGTGGGGGATCAGGAGGGCTGGGGGCTAGTTGGTAATTTTTATCAGGGTGGTCAGGGTAGGTGTGTTAGACTGGGTTATCTAGAGAAACAAAAACCAGCAAAGCTTATATGTAGAGAGAGAAAAAAAAAATTTATCTTAGGAAAATGGCCCACAAACGTATAGAATCCGGCAAGTCCAAAGTCCCTAGATCAAATGTCAAGCTGGAGGCTTTTCCTGGCTCCCTCAACCACAGGGGCCGAGAGGCTCAAGGCTGGCAGGCAGTATACCAGCTGTTGACTCCAGCGAATGACGAATCCAAGATCTCCAGGCCGAACGGTGGACTTCTCACTCACGGATAGTTGTAGGCAGCACAGCGGAATCCCGATCCACAGAAGAATGTCTCTCTTCCCAGGATGTCCCTGGATATCCTGGAAACAGGCCACACCCCTAGGGAAACTCGCCTTCAACAGTGGCCACTCAGAACACAGTCATCCAATCCCATCATGGGAACAACCACACAGAACTGGGGTCCAGCCAAGTTGACACACAGCTCCAACTATCACAGTAGGCCTCATTAAGAAGATGAGATTTCAGGAAAGGTTTGAAGGAGGCAGGGCTTAGCCATGGAAATTCCCAGAGATAGAAGACCCTGAGATGGAGGCGACTTTGTTTTCCAGGAACAGCCAGGAGGCCAGAGTGGTGAAGCGTAATAGTGCGAGGTGACCAGTGAGTGAGGGTGAGGTCAGGGAAGTGGGAGGGTTGTCTGAAGGGTGGGTGTCCTAACAAGAGACAGGCTTGTAAGGGTATTAGGTTGACATGAAAACATACACCAGCTCTCTTGCCCTGTGTAGTATAGTGTCAGATTCAAATTCTTAAATGAATAGTTTCTGCAGGCTGCTTAATCTTGGCCTGTTTCACATAGGTAAGAATTTTATTGGCACTTCAGGTGTCATGAAAAGATACAGTAAACAATGTAATTAACATGCATGTACCCACTACCCGTATTTAAAAATGTCACTCTTTTGCCCTGTTTATGGTGGCGTAGTGCCTAAGACATTTTACCTGCTAACCAGAAGACTGGCGGTTCAAACCCACCAGCCACTCCTTGGAAGGAAAGACTGGGTAATCTACTTCTGTTGTGAAACCACCTTGGAAACCCAAGGAGAGGTCGCTATGAGTCAGATCCAACTCAACGGCAGTGAGGTTTTTTGTTTTGTTTTTTTAGTATCTCTTTTTTTATTTTTTTTTTTCCCTTTTTTTTTTCTCTTATGTGCACACTTTTTAGTATCTCACTTTTAAAAAAATAAACAGATATATAAAACCCATTTAGTATCTCTTTCTGGTCTTGTTTTTCTCCTCCCTTCCTGAGAGGTGATCACTTCTCTGAAATTGCATCCTTCCTTCCTTTTATACTTTTACTATCTATGGTGCAGTGGATTACATAATACCGCTCTTCTAGCCATGGTCTGTGACTGGGTGGGACTGTGCAGATGTGAGGTGCTGGCCCACCAAGGGAACTGGATAGTTTGTTAATAATGTAAATAATGGTATCCTTGTTGGGCAGGACCATGGAAATAAGGTGTATGGAACCCTAACATGGGGATTGGTCAGTTTTGTCATTTGTCATCCTGCTGGGCTGAAAATGAGCCATCCTAGGGTCAGAAAGGGGGGATTTCACTACCATCAGGAGAGAAGAGCCAGGAATGGAGCATGTCCTTGGGCCCTAGATCTCTGAGCTGAGACGGCAGGCAGACAAAAGCAGCAGAGGCAGTAGAACCAACGGAACCAAGAGACCAGCACAAAACAGAGTGGCAGGCTTGCT